TGTTGGAGACAAATGCTAACTGCTTTGCGCATTTCATTGCGTAGTTGTTTTCTGCTCTGTTCTCCGTTGAGTCGCTGGTAAAGCAAGCGGCCAACGCCGGTCGCAAACGCTCACCGCTACGCGTCCCCGGGCTGACCACTTGCGTGACCCAAGATTTCGAAAGTCCGAGTGATTCGCGCTCGAGTGACTCGCTTGCAAAATGGGTGCGTTCCGCCCCGTTCCAGAACGTTCTTCTCCGCGTCCGCAGACGGACCGCTCTTTGGACCCTTGGATGCCCGTATAAAAGGGCTCAGTGCCTCAGTCGTGGGTTCAGTCGTTGGAGAAATTTTAGGCCAAGGCCCCGCGCTGTACTGCGCTCTCCTCACCGTCGTTTCAGGTCTTCCCCTTTTACCTTTGTCGTTTTATACTTTGCATTTTATTGTCGTTGTGTTCCACTCGCATATAGAAATCGTAGTTTGAGTAAAGAAAGTCGCGCATAGCTGTTACGAGGAGGCCAAGTGTTATGCTATTACTAGGTCCGGCTCTGGCTGGCTTATAACCTAGCAAACACTTTGTATCCCACAAGACTTACAATTTCAAGATCAGCTGAAACTGTGGCTCAGTTTGTCAAGCAGTGTTACGCCGGCACAGAGATCCCCATGTGGGCAACAAACAATAGTTGGTACCTGCGGTATGCGATTAATAATCGCAGCGCATACTAGCACATGATGCGCACTGCCCTCGTAGTGCCGTTTGGCATAGTGTTTGCTGACGTCGTCGGCTTTCACTAGCGTTTTCCACACACAAGTAAAGCCTTAAAATTAGATTGGCGAAAATTACAAAGATAAGGCTGATATGAAGCAGTTAGCTGTTTCAATTAAAGCCTTTATGCAGAGAACCACAGGTAGGTACGCATCACAGCGTTCGTTGACATGCCAAAAATCACCTACAGCACGAAAAAATTGAGCACTGTTTAAATTACATGTGTCCGTCGGTTTGTACATCGCTTGTGCCGAAGAATTCGTCAAATATGTAGGCATCGCCGCCATTTTGCGACTCGATAGCCCGGGCGAGGCGAAGCTTCCGCTCATCTGCTCACAGACGTCCCTTCTTCTTGCGCAGTGTGGGCATCGTTGAACGAGAACACGAACTAAGGCGAGCACTGAGCACTGAAGTCGTATTGAGTGAATGAAGTGATTCCTACGGTGCATGCGACAGTTCTGTGACACGCACGCAGCTACGCTACGATGTATGCGACAGCTCCAGCTTTAAAACAGGAAAATGCGCTTCTCCGGCCCGATACTTTCCTGAGTATCCTATTCAAACGCTCCTGCGCGTATGTTAGCGTATCAAGGGGGTGTGGGAAGATCAGCCATATGTTAGCCATTGTTAACATCGAGGGGGAGGTAGTGGGTACCAACAGCACTGTTACTGACGAAGTTTTATGGAATTATGTACTTACGCGGCTGCATGCATTACATGCCATTTGTCGGGTTTTCCTGCCTCCTAGCAGATTCTTTGCCCGTCAAGATTGGAATGCGGCCGAAAAGTTTAGGTCAAATTATAGCAGTAACTGTTCCGCCGCCTGGGCGTAAGAACGATGTTGTTTTAAGCATGCGAATTTCTCTCCGCGATTTGAAAAATTAATGTTCGCCAAAAAATGGTCAACCTAACAAGTCGTTTTTACTCCTTGTACAAGCTTAAGCGGTCTCTTCGCATTGTTGACACACTGTCCGCGTGGCGCGTGGGTAGCCCAGGTAGCTGCAGAGATTCTCGTCCGGTTTGACTTCGCCACCACCGCATCTGCTTGACAGGTAGCCGGCCTGAGGTATTCCTTAANGAGAAGCCGGCCGATACGCACCATGTTGGGAACTTGTCGCTGCCCCAGGAGTTGGCGACCGCGAAAACACTGTCCTTGAGTACGAGCCCGATGCCGTGTGCCTTAGTTGCATTAGGACGAGTTCGGCATAAAGAAAGCGCGGTTTGCCGCACTTCCCAAAATGGTAAATTACAATGGCATGTATTTGAATTTGGGTGATGTTGAAGACGGTGCGCACCATTTCCTCGCCGTCTTGTTGCCGTTCTGGTGCTTCGGCGTTGCTGCTTTCCGCTACATTTTGAAAAGAACTGTGCGGTGACGTTTGTGTGGGTACTGCGGTGCGGTATCGGTGGAGCGCTAGGGAGCGTCGCCTGCCGTGGGGTGCATGGTATCTATTTACAGCGGACCTAGGACCGACCGGACGGGAGAAGAAGCCGAGCGGCTGCGAAGAAATCGAGCAAGAAGTCTGGCCTCATCGCTCAGTACTGTCTCTTCCTGCTCAGCTATTTGCTAAGCTATACCATCAAAAAGAACGATGGACAGTCGTCTAATACCAGCTCGTGGCAGGACTAACGAGTTATAAGTTATACGCAGAGAATATAGGAAGGAGGTAACGTTAGCGCATGCGCCCGACGGATAAAAAATTCAAGCACGTCGGTATCGAAAACAACACCTCTTTCCTTGTTCTAACGCGGCTACCAACAACAACAGGGAATCAAAATTCTGAACGACGTTGAAGTAACGAAAAAAAAGACCACAAATATTGCTGGCGCAGAGGTAATCGAGGCTTCAAAGATAATAACTAAGGATATTCGATAGCGAAACTCCTCAATCGCTTATTCAGCAAAAACACTTTGCCTCAATAAATGTTGGAGACTTACATCAAGATCAGCTGAAACTGTGGCTCAGTTTTGTCTAGCAGTGTTACGTCGGCACAGAGATCCCCACGCGGGCAACAAACAATAGTTGGTACCTGCGATGTGCGATCAATAATCGCAGCGCGCACTAGCACATGATGCGCACTGGCTCGTGCCGTTTGGCATAATGTTTGCTGACATCGTCGGCTTTCACTAGCGTTTTCCACGCACAAGCAAATCCTTAAAATTAGCAATTGGCGAAAATTACAAAGATAAGACTGATATAAAGCAGTTAGCTGCTTCAACTAAAGCCTTTATGCAGAGAACCACAGGTAGGTACGCATCACAGCGTTCGTTTCATGTCAAACTTTACCAAAAGCACGAAAAAATTGAGCACAATTTAAATTAAATGTTTCCGTTGGTTTGTACATCGCTTGTGCCGAAGAATTCATCATAGATATAGGCACAGGCACCATTTGCGACTGGGCAGTCCGGGCACGGCGAGGCTTCCGCTCATCTGCTCACAGACGTCGCTTCTTCTTGCGCGGCGTGGGCACCTTTGAACGAGAACACGAACTAAGGCGAGCACTGAGCACTGAAGTCGTATCGAGTGAATGAAGTGATTACTACGGTACATGCGACAGTTCTGTGACGCATGCAGCTACGCTACGATCTATGCCGCAGCTCCAGCTTTAAAACAGGAAAATGCGCTTCTCCGGCCCGATACTTTCCTGAGTATCCTATTCAAACGCTCCTGCGCTTATGTTAGCGTATCAAGGGGGTGTGAGAAGATCAGTCATGTATTAGCCATTGTTAACATCGAGGAGTAGGTAGCGGGTACTAACAGGACTGTTTGTAACGAAGTTTTATGGAATTATGTCCTTACGCGGCTGCATGCATTACATGCCATTTGTCGGGTTTTCCTGCCTCCTAGCAGGTTCTCTGCCCGTCAAGATTGGAATGCGGCCGAAAAGTTTAGGTCAAATTATAGCAGCAACTGTTCCGCCGACTGGGCGTAAGAACGATGCTGTTTTAAGCATACGAATTTCTCGCCGCGCTCTGAAAAATTAATGTTTTGCAAAAATGGTCAGCCTAACAAGTCGTTTTTACTCCCTGTACAAGCTTGAGCGGTCTCTTCGCATTGTTGACACACTGTCCGCGTGGCGCGTGGGTAGCCCAGGTTGCTGCAGAGATTCTCGTCCGGTTTGACTTCGCCACCGCTGCGTCTGCTTGACAGGTAGCCGGCCTGAGATATTCCTAAAGACAAAAAGCGCGCAACTCGCTAGCGAGCATCTTGCTCGAGCAGGGCGTCAAGCCAGAAACGTCGAGTGCCTCTTCCGGCTGACCCTCGAGCGGGTCGAAACTATTGGCGCTATGGATCCGTATCGCCCGCCTCACGTGACACCCAGCAACGCGTCACAATCGAACAGCATTCGGTCCCTGTACACGACCCACAGGACGACGATGAACGACCGGCCGCCGCATTTCTGGAAGGGTCCCTTTCGTCACGCAAATGGTATTGTCTTTGGCACAACCGAATTGACGCTCGGTTATCGTGAGACCCGCTTTGGGCACAAAAAAAACCGTGCTCTTTGGGTGTTGGATCATGTACTACATTTAACCTATTCTCAGTGTCTGTGGACAGTTTTAGCGGTATATAACGTAACAG